TTGATGCTTTGTGCATCATTCAATAATTTTCCCAGAGAATCTTTCAATAATGAAGGTTGAGATTGAATTTTTTCTTCAGTTCCCCCAGCTTGAGAAATGCTGACTGTGTTCTTCCTTTTTGGTTTTCTTATTCCAGATCTTTGCACATTTTATTGTAATATTTGGCTTTATCTTCTCGAGCTGATCTTTGAAATTTTCTGTTCAGCTCTTGTACCTCCTCATTTCTTCCATTTGCTTTAGCATCTCTATGCTGGAGGGCAAGTTTCAGTGTCTCTTCTGACATCCATTTTGACCTTTTCCTTCTTTATTATCTACACATGTATGATGTTCTTGATGTCATCCCACAAGTCTTCTGGTCTTCTGTCTTTAGTGTTTAATGTATCAAATCTGTTCTTTAGATGATCTCTAAATTCAGGTGGGATATATTCAAGGTCATATTTTGGCTCTCTTGGAGTTGTTTTCATTTTCTTCAGCTTCAGTTTGAATGTGCATATGAATAATTGATGGTCTATTCCACAGTCTGGCCCCTGCCTTGTTTTCACTGATGATATGATATCTCTTTCCACAGATGTAGTCAATTTTATTTCTATGTATTTCATCTGGCAAGGTCCATGTGTGTAGTCTTCTGTTATGCTGTCTAAAGAAGGTATTTGAAATGAACAAATCATTTATTTTGCAGAATTCTATCATGCATTCTCCAGTATCATTTCTATCACCAAGGACATATTTTCCAACTATTGATCCTTCCTCTTTGCTCCCAACCTTTGCATTCCAATCATCAGTGATGATCAATACATCTTGATTGCATGTTCAATCAATTTTACATTGAAGAAGTTGGTAGAATTCTTCTATTTCAACCTCACTGGCATTAGTGGTTGGTGCATAAATTTGAATAATAGTGGTATTAACTGGGCTTCCCTGTAGGCGCATGGATATTATCCTATCACAGACAGCGTTGTACCTCATGACTGATCTGGATATGTTCTTTGTGACAACTTGTGAACTTGTCATTCACAGCACAGTAAACCATGTGGTTGTCAGATTCAAAATGGCCAATAGCAGTCCATTTCAGCTCACTAATGCCTAAGATATTGATGTTTATGCGCTGCATTTCATTTTTGACCACTTCAAATTTTCCCAGATTCATACTTCGTACATTCCATGCTCTGATTTTCAGTGGATGCTTACAGCTGTTTCTCTTCATTTTGAGTTGTGCCCCATCAGCAAATGAAGGTTCGGTGGGCTTTTCTCCCAAGGGCTGTACTCTATTTACGTCATAACGGTCAACTGTACTTTGAGGAGGCAGCTCTTCCCCAGTCGCATTTTGAGTGCCTTCCAACCTGAGAGGCTCATTTTCCGGCACTATATCTGACAGTGTTTCTCTGCTATTCATAAGGTTTTCAGTGACTAAAGATTCAGACCTAGTTCATCACTCTTTATTCCTAGTCTGTCTTCGTCTGGAAGCTCATCTGAAATCTGTCCACCATGGGGGAACCTGCTGGTATTTAAAATACCGGTGGCATAGTTTTCAAAATCATAGCAACTCACAAACCTCCACAGTATGGCAAACTGACAGACAAGTACTGGTATATAAGAAGATATAAATATGCTTTATTTGAAAGTAGCTCTATTGCTCAATATTTTGGTGGAAGAAAACGTGTTTATAACTTTTATTTAAATAAATGTGTAAATACTCAAAGAACAAGGGAGTGTTTTGAAATCAAAATGGAAAATAAAAATCTTGAGCCCTTGAGATAATGGGCGTTACTTGCACTATCCACAATTATCTGCTACGTCTTTTTAAAGACTATGATTGATGTGATAAAATCACAATGAAATTTTTGTTTAATAAAAGCAGTTGGATTTTCTTTGCTGTCTTCAATCTGAGGCTGGTTCATATTTGAGAAATGCTTTTTGAATATTTCATACTTCTGACTCTTTGCCAACATGAATATTTTGGGGAATATATTAAGTATATTTGCTTAGGTAACAACACATGCACACATATCTACACATACACCACAATGGAAACTGAGTCTCTTTTCTAGAAATTATCTCAGTTATTTACTAGTATATTCACTTACACATCATCAGCTGCTCCTCTAGAGAAAGATGAGAATTTCTGCTCTTATAAAAATGGACGGCCTCAGAAACCTATACTGGGTTGCTATGCATCAAAACCACAATGACAACATAAAAAGTTAATATTCAGAGTTGTTGTTGTTGTTAAGTGCCATTGAGTCGGTTCCGACCCATAGTGACCCTGTAACAGGGTTTCCGAGGGTGTAAATCTTTACGGGAGTAGAAAGCCTCATCTTTCTCCCGCAGAGTGACTGGTAGTTTCGAACCGCTGACCTTAAGGTTTGCAGCCCGATTCATAACCACTACGCTACCAGAGCTCCTTAATATTCAGAGTTAACATTGTATAATTTCTGAGAATGATTGCTTATTAAAATGAGTTTTTTAAAAATAGCTTATTATGAAAGAACATGTCATGAGTTATTGTTGTTATTAAGTGCCACTGAATCCGTTCCGACTTGCAGGGACCCTGTATAGGATTTCCAAGGAACAGCTGGTGGGTTTGAACTGCCAACCTTGTGGTTTTCAGTCCAGCTCTGATCCTACAGCACCACACCAGAAGTCCATATCATGGGTTGTTGTTGTTAGGCATCTTCGCGTCGGTTCCGACCCATAGCGACCCTAGATAGAGTTTCCAAGGAGCTGTGGGTGAGCTTGAACCACCAACCTTGCAGTTCAAACTTCTTTGCAGTCTGGAGCATTAACCCACAGTGCCACACCGGGACTCCATCTCATGAGTAGCAGCATGAATTTGAAAGTTTAGTAATACAAAACATTGGAGTTCCTTCAGCTATTAATTGCTTATTCTACAAAATCTAGTGGATCTATTGTTGTTGTTGTTAAGTGCCTTTGAGTAGATTCCGACCCATAGCAACCCTTTATGAGGTTTCCGAAGAGTAGCTGGTGAGCTTGAACCACTGACCTTGCAGTAGTGGATCTATAGGAGGTAATATTTGTTTCTGTTCTCATGGTTATTAAACTCATTCAACTAGCAGGGACTTGTTGAATTCTTCCCATGTTGCAGGCACTCTGCTAGTGAGTTTAAATGTTTCATATGCTCAAGTATGTGCATATACTAGTCATCCGACACTTACGTTTTCTGTCTTCATGAGGTGTCTTAGAAATTTAGTGACGTTACAAGAGGAAAATACAAGTGGATGACTTTAAAGAAATACATTTTCTCACAGTTTTGTTATTGTTAAGTGCCCGTTGAATTGATTCCAACTCATAGCCACTCTGTACAGGGTTTCTGAGGAGTGGCTGGTGACTGACCTTGTAGTCCAAACCAACCTTGCAGTTCTGGGCATTAACCCACAACGCTGCCCCAGTTCTCACAGTTTAGGAGGTTAGAAGTCCAAATTCAGGGTTCTGGTTCTGAAAGTTCTTGTCTCTACAGCTTCTGTTTCCTGGTTCTTTGGAGATCTGCAGATGGCTTGAAATCTATTTTACCCGATTTCTCTTCTACTTGCTAATTTAATCTCTTTTTTCCTGGTGTGGCGCTGTAGGTTAATGTGCCAGACTGCAAGGTCAGCAGTTCAAGCTCATCAGTTTCTCCTCGGAAACCGTATACAGGGTCGCTATGAGTTGGAATAGACTCAATGACACTCAACAACAACAACATATCACAAAAGAAATGGACTCAAGTCACTCTTATACTAATTCTTCCATTACATAACAAAGACAACCCATTCCCAAATGGGATTATAATCACAGGCATAGAGACTAGGATTCACAACACATATTTTCAGGCAGAGTCCTGGTGTGGCACTGTAGGATAATTACTGGAGTGGTAACTGCAAGGTCGGCAGTTCAAACCCACTAACCACTCCTTGGAAATTTATAGGATTGCTCTGAGTCAGAACCGACTTTTAGGCGCTTAATAACAATAAAATGTATAACAAGAGTTTTCCATGTAGTGACTCAAGGTGAGACATTGTCAATTACTCATAAAACACAGTTGAAAACTGAAGAAAAGGCTGTGAGAGGTTTGAGGAGTGGTGTCTGATGGTGGGCTTGAGGAAAAGGAACTTGGAAGTATACTAATTCATTGTATAAGGTTTTTGTCTGTCAGAAGGAATTGCATGTGCAAAATGCCTAAGGTGGGGAGAAACTGTGATTTGGGAAAACTGCAAGGCTATTATTGAGTGCTGGATGGAGCAAAGAAAACTTTGCAAGATGAGACTGCAGAACTAGGTAGGAACCATGGCATGTAGTATTTCCATTTTTATGCAAAATCAGGTGGCCTCCTGACAATATGACCCGCTCGCAATCATGTTTTCACTTTTGCGTGTTTTTGTTTATTTTTATTTGGGTGCACTGAAGCCAGGTATACACTCTCCGATTGGTCACAATTCCCAGCCACCCTTACTGACCGCACACAAGTATGCCTGGTGACTGGCCATTGAAGAAATGAAGTTTGCAACGCCTCTCTGGAAATTCTTCCTACGCCCTTAGATTTTGTATTTAAAATAACACGTTGAAAGAGAAGCGAGAAGCAGAAAAGATCATACACTCAGCATCAACACAGTTGAAACTCAGCGTTTGGGAAACAGGGTGGAGGTGGCAGTGGGAGGAAGACGCAGAGCGTGGGTGAGGTGGGGAGCTACGCAGGGGAGCGACGCAAGGGAGCGACGCATGGGAGCGACGCACGGAGGAGGCGCAAGGGACCTGCGCAGGGCTGCGACGCAATTGCGTATGGTCGTTCTTTGTTGCCCCGGCAGACGGAAAGTGTGGACCACGCAATGGATCTGAGGTAGTAAAATCAAGAACTGTCATCTCTGGGCTCATCCCTGACTGGTCGCGGAGTCAATCTTGACCAATGCAAAGCAGGTGAGGAGCAGAGCCTACTGCAAAGCGATGATCATATGCCCGGGAATACAAAAGGCGCGTGAGTAGAATCGGTACCAACTGACATCAGTACTATGACAGAATTTTCTGATGAGACCGGTCAGGATTTTTCTGATGAGGCAGAGAGTTCAGATTCCTTCAGTTCCTCTGAGGGGCTGCAGCCCTCGCCCCATGCCTCTGGAGACAAACCTGAAAGTGGGACGCAGACCACCACCTGGGAGCATGAAGATAAACCATCAGAGCTGTCAGATTTGAGTAGTAATGGCAAGAAGTTAAGTAGAAAATGGATCAGCCACCTTAAGAGCAATAAAAGTAACTCTGGACAGTACTCACCTGATAGTAAAATTGAGAAAGAAATCACTCAGGTGCCTGACAAAGAATTGAATGCTCTTCAGTCTTTTTGCAACATTAAGATAAACCTGATCCATCGTAGATTGAACTGTAAGGAGGCAAAGAGCAGGAGAGGAAAAAAGAGACAGCTCAGACTGGATGCGGAGGTTCCAGATATAGATGTACAGAAATGTACTGTTCCTGATGAGATTTTGAACAGAATCTATTTTGAAAACACGAAGGCAACACTAAAACAGGTGTCAGCAACTAAACAACACATTTCTTCGCAGTGTCACAGTTGTAACAGAAAAAGAGCAGAACTAGCCCAATCTGCTTTCCTGAAGCGAAAGACGACTTTACTGCAATCGCTTTTACTCCAGCAGAAAATAGATGAGCATCTCCACACCAATGATTTTCTCACTTTTGTTGGAGAAGCACACAAGGGCCTTCCAAGACTTTCAGATGACCCCAGATTAATCTGGAAAAGACTGACTGAGAAATGTCAGATCAGATGCTCTGGTTTTGAAAAGCCAGATGCAGACCAGAAAGGTGTAACAGGATGGAAATAGTGCTTGTTATAGTCACTGTTTTGTCTAACCCTTCTTAAGACACATACTCTAACCAAACAAGATAGTGTTTACTGATGATCATGTGTCATGTGGATACAAATCCTGTTATGCATTTGAATAATTGCCATGATGTCTATAGTCACGTTGGAAATTAATTTAAGACTTGATGTTGCTTCCGTCACAGACTTGAGAAGTAAAAACTTTCCATCCTACGCGTTTTTAGTATTACAGAGGGTAACTATGTAGTTGGAATAGTTACAAAACTTTTGCAACAATCCAGGAAAGAGATGGTAGCTTGGATTAGGGTGTTAACAGCGCATGTGTGAAAGAGTACAGACATGTAAGAGATAATTAGGAAGTAATAATTGATACTCCTACATGATGAAATAAATATGAAGATTTAATAAAGTTAAATGTCAGTGATGCTACTCGTAATTTCTGACTGTGCACCTGGATGAATGATAATTAATTTAATGGTACTGGTTATGAGTCGGACTGCCAACCTCAAGGTCAATAATTCGAAACTACCAGCCATTCTGTGGGAGAAAGATGAGGCTTTCTGCTCATGCAAATATTTACAGCCTTGGAAACCCTATGTAGAGTCACTGTGAGTCAGAGCCGACTCCAAGGCACACGACCACCACCACCAAAGTAGCATTGAAAGTTTAGTGGCAGTGATGTGAGTTTGATTATTTGGTTAGCCTTATAGGGTGGCTATGAGTTATAATCGATGGCACAGACAATAGCAAGTCTGAGGTGTGTTTGGGATATACATGTTGAGAGGTTGAGGAACTATTTGGATATTTTGTTTTCAGTCTGTAGTTGAAATTTGAAGCTATAGATATGTTGAGCTCTTCTGAAAGTGAGTGAAAGGCAGGGGTAGGACCATCTCCTGAATATCATAACAGCTAATGAGTGTGCTGTTGTTGGTAAGTACCGTGGAGTCGGTTCCGACTCATAGTGACCCTGCACAGGGTTTCTGAGGCTGTAAATCTTTATGGGAGCAGAAAGCCTCATCTTTCTCCTGCAGAATGACTGGTAGTTTCGAACTGCCGACCTTGAGGTTAGCAGCCCGACTCAACGGCACTTAACAATAGCGATACACTAGTAGAGGAGAAAAACTCAACAGTGGTGGCTGAAAAGAAATGATCTTACAGGGATCAAAGAGAGAAAATCTGTATAGGGTCATAGAAGGTGGGTAAAAAGAATATGTCAATGAGGATTGGTTACATGAACATGCCAGTGCAACTGAGAAGCCACATACATTGATTTAGTCATGTATTGAGTACTATTCCTAACAACCCATTCACTTACAGATTTTCAGTAAAGTAGATGAGGACCAAAAGCTTTAAGGAAATCAACAGTATGAATACAGACTACTGGTGTACCGTTGTAGGATAATCACTGCAAGGTCAGTGGTTCAAACCCAGCAGCCACTCCTTGGAAACGCTGTACTGGTTCACTATGAGTCAGAACTGACTTGAGGGCAGTTAACAACAACAACAACAAATGACAAGTTTTGTTGTAGAGGGAGAGAGAGGACCAGCTGGAGGTAGGTATAGATCTTGGAAGAATGTTTGAATAAATTATTAGAAATTATTTTGGCCTTGGAGATTTATGACACATCTGTTCATCCTAATTTCCTTATTAATGATATCATCCCCTGAAGAATTCCATGGCATTATTGTTTGGAAAAATTTTAGAAAGTATTTTGTGAAATCATAGTTATTATTTCTCTATGAAAATATGAAATCCTAGAACAAGTAGTTTTACCTAGAAGTCATTTTTCTACATACATCTAAGACCTAAACTGAGGAGTCCTGTTGTGGTGTTGTGGGCTAATGCAGCAGACTGCAAAGTTGTTTGAACTGCAAGGTAGGTGGTTCAAGTTTACCAGCTGCTCCTTGGAAACCCTGTACAGGATCACTATGGGTCGAAATCGACTCAAAGGCACGTAACAACAATAACAAGATGTAAACTTTCTGAGCAGCAAATTTATTTGCAGAGAATTAACCTGAAACAGTCTTTATAGTATATTGTGTTGTATTATTTTTATTGTTTTTTCACCATTGATTTGATTCTGACTCCTAGCAACCCCATAGGGAAAAGTAGAACTGCCTCCATATGCTAGTATGCTAGTCTTAATGGGAGCAGATTGTTGTTGTTGTAAGTACCATCGAGTTTGTTCTGACTCATACTGACCCTGTATAGGATTTCTGAGAAGCTAGTAAGTTTGAACTGCTGACCTTGTGGGTAGCAGTCCAGTGCTAGCAGATTTCCAGTTCATTTATCCAATGGAGCTACTGGTGGATTGCAACCATTGGCCTTTTGTTTTAGCAGCAAAGCACTTACCCACTGTACCACCAAGATCCCTTCTCTTTGAGTTAATACTTTGATTTCTATATACATATATACCTGCTTCCTGTAAAATGTATCCTATTTTCACTTAATTAGTCCTAAATATAATGATAAGCAAATCATTAGTATTTTCTTAGTCACTTTTTATTTGAAGATCCAAACTATGTCATGTTATACTGTTATGGATTAAATTATGTCCCCCAAATATTTCTTATAAACCTTCACCTCTATACCTGTGTTTATAACTATGTTTGGGAATGGGCTGTCTCTGTTATGTTAGTGAGACAGGATTAGTACAGAGTATGTCTTGAGTAAATCTCTTTTTATATACAAAAGAGTTTAAACACTAGAGAAGGTAAATGTGATGCCAAAGCACATGGAGATCTCCAAGGTACCAGGAAGCAGTAGCTGAGGAGACAAGGAAATTTCTCTAGAGCCACAAGAGAGACAAAGCCTTCTAGAGTCAGTGCTCTGAAATTTAGGCTTTCCTAAACTTTGTGACAGAGTCCTGGTGTGGCCCTGTGGGTTAATGCGCCAGACTCCAAAGCTGCTCTTTGAACTGCAAGTTCAGCGGTTCAAGCTCACCAGCTGTTCCTTGGAAACCCTATACAGGGTCACTATGGGTTGGAATTGACTCGACAGCACTTTACAGCAATAACAACAACAAACTTTGTGACCCTCAGCAAAATGGATTGATCTAGTCAGTGACTTCAACAATGGGAGCAAACATAGTAGGGATTATGAAAATGGGTCAGTGTTTCATTTTGTGTTACATGGAGTCACTGTGAGTCAAACTTTTCTCAATAGAATTTAATAGCAATAACAGAGAAAATAAATTTCTTTTTGTTGAAGCCATCCACTTGTGTTATTTCTGTTATAGCAATACTGTTGTTGTTTTTAAGTGCCGTCGAGTCGGTTCCAACCCATAGCGACCCTGTACAGGGTTTCCGAGGTTGTAAATCTTTATGGGAGCAGAAAGACTCATCTTTCTCTCACAGAGCAGCTGGTAGTTTTGAACTGCTGACCTTGCAGTTCACAGCCCGATTCGTAACCACTACGCTACCAGGGCTACTAGGTAACTAAAATAGCAACTCAATATATTCACATTTTGTATAATCAGAATTCTGTTTTCATTTAGGATCTTCCCATTGAAGGTCATGCTCTACCCGATCAGTCAATCAAACTAGAAATCATTGTTTTTATGTGCCATTGAGTTGGTTCTAATTCATAGCAATCTTACCCAAAACAAAACGAAACACTGTCTGGTCCTGTGCCAATCCTCACAACTGTTGTTAAGCTTGAGTCCATTGCTGCTGCCACAGTCCCAATTCATTTTGTTGGAGATCTTCCACTTTTTCACTGACCCTCCACTTCACCAAACATGTTGTCCTCCTGATAATATGTCTGAAGTATGAGAGATGAAGTCTCCTATCCTGGCTTCTAAGGAATGTTCTTGCTGTACTTCTTCCAATACAGATTTTGTTTGTTCTTCTGACAGCCCATGGTATTTTTTATTCTCCTCCAGTACCATTACTAAAATGCATCAATTCGCCTATGTTCTTTCTTATTCAATGTCCAACTTTCATATGTCCACACATATGAGGCAATTAAAAACACCATGGTTTGGGTCAGGTGCACCTTAGTCTTCAAACTGACATCTTTGCTCTTGAGCATTTTAAAGAGATCTTGTATGGCAGGTTTGCCTAATGCAATATGTCATTTGATTTCTTGACAGCTTCTTCCATGAGTGTTGATTGTGGGTCAAACAAAAAGAAGTCTTTGACAACTTCAGTCTTTTTTTCCATTTATCTTGATGTTATTTGTTGGTGTAGTGGTGAGGTGTTTTTTTTTTTCTTTACACTGAGTTACAGTCCACACTGAAGGCTGTGGTGTTTTATTTACATCAGTAAATAAATATTTTAACTCCTCTTTGCTTTCAGCAAGCAAAGTTGTATCATCTGCATATCATAGATCCTTAATGAGTCTGCCTTCAATCCTTCAATTCCTTCAATCATTCTTCTTCATATAATCCAGATACTCAAATTATTTGCTCAACATACCGATTGTATAGGTATGGTGAAAGAATACAAAGGTGCACATCTTGACTGATTATAAATCATTCAGTACTCCCTTGTTCTGTTCAAACAATGGCCTCTTGGTCTGTGTCCTTATGATCACAACTAAGTGTTCTACCCATTTGTCACAATGTTACCCATATTTTTTCATGATCCCCACAGTCAAAATTCTTTGTGTAGTCAATGTAGACAAGTAACCATCTTTCAGGTATTCTCTGCTTTTTGCCAAAATCCATTTTATGTCAGCAATGGTATTCCTAGTTTCATGTCTTCTTCTGAGTGAGTGCCTCCACTTCTGCATCAGCTTGTTGAAAGATTTCAATATGTATTCCACCAATTCCTGGAGGCTTGTTCTTTGGCAATGACTCTAGTGCACCTTGGACTTCTTCCTTCAGTATCATTGGTACTTGAGCGTATGCTACTTCTTGAAATGGTTGAACATTGACAATTTTCTTTTTGGTACAATGACTCTGTGTATTCCTTCCATCTACTTTTGGTGCTGTCTGCATCATTCAATATTTTGCCTGAAGAATCCTTCAACATTTCTGACATGCATTTTGGTGTTTTCCTTCTTGTCTTCTTAATGACCTTTTGC